AGAAGACGAAGTCGTGGTGGGGTGGGGGAGTCTACTAGTGGTGCTCAACAAAGAGGAGAGAAGAAAATGAAGGTGTGATGGAGTTCCTTGCCCTCCTCGAGCAATAGAAGTATTTTTGGAATTATGGTAAAGAAGTTGGAAGACTTAGTTTTTAAGAATCTATTTTGCATACATGGGTAACACATGGCATTAATTGTGGCATCCGTCTATTTCTGTAAAACAAATTCATAACTATAAAACAAATTCATAATTCAANAAAGTTGGAAGACTTAGTTTTTAAGAATCTATTTTGCATACATGGGTAACACTTGGCATTAATTGTGGCATCCGTCTATTTCTGTAAAACAAATTCATAACTATAAAACAAATTCATAATTCAAGTAGGTTTAGTACAATATTTTATAATTTAGGGTAACAAATCCCAAGTACAGAGATTTTTTTTTTTTTTTTGCATTTAACCCAATATCATATGATGTGCNGTTGTGGTGCAAAGTAATACTTCGTACCTCCAAATGCTGGCCTAAACTTAGTACTACCCTCCGTTAATACCAACCACAACTAAGAATCCTCAATTGTCAACCTAGATTCTCCTTCTCCTCCGGGAACAAACAAGCACACACACCCCCCCAATTACAATACTATTTTAAGTATTCCCTAAGCTAGTCAAATCATTCACACATTAAATCAAACACCTTCATAATTTCAATAAAGCCCCTAAGATGATCAAATAAAAAGAACAGCACCGTGCTCGATATTGACTCATTTCTTTTTCTTAATAAGAACAAAAATAAAAATGTCAAGAAGACATAACCAAAAAAAAATCAAAAGAGAGCCTGTGAGGGATACAAAGTGCTAAACTATCCATGATACTAAATGCAACAAAGGCACAAAAACAACACAATAAAAACTAGAAGAAAAGAACAAAACCTTTGAAGCATTCAAACCACCAACGTTTCACAAGAAAAGGTTGTTATGCGNAATTCATGAACTTTAACATACACATTCTCGTATTGAATGATCTAATGTTTTTTACTAGTTTTGTTACTTTTGAATATCTAGATTAATTGGTCATTTTAGTGTTCAAAGCATGATATTTTTTATCCCCCATTAATGAATTAACCTATATGGCGCAATTAATATCTATGAGAATCGTGTGATCCATGAGTTACAAATAAATTGGCATTCACATTACTATCTATCACTATATGAATGCAATGTCAAAAAAGAATCATGACATTTTTTAGATTGTGTTAATAAGTAATTATTTTTCAAAACAGTTTTTAAGTTAAGCAATCTCAATGTTTTCACCATTTGTATTAATTTTGCAGAGATCTTAATGACTAAAAAAAGAAAAGCCATTATTTCTGCATCCACCTTAGTGTAAGGAGAAAATCCTCCCCTAGTCCCCACTTCTCTCTAGCCATATAAACATATATGCTCAAATGTGTTATCATTTATACGCANATGGGCGCATAGGCAAATGGCCATCATTTTTACTACCCCTCCAATCGTTGGCCTTCCCCTTTTCCCNGCTAGGCAAATGGCCATCATTTTTACTACCCCTCCAATCGTTGGCCTTCCCCTTTTCCCTTCATAATTCACCCAAGTTAGTTACCATCTTTAGTTTTCTTTGTGGCTTTTCTCAAGCATTTTCTCCATTTTCTTAGACTCCCATGCTATGTGAGAACCTTCCCCGATTTCATCAAACAAATACAAATTAAATCCCGAGCTTAGTACTGACATAACCTCCATTACACTGTCCATGATGAAGTAGTGAAACCTCATTTGTGACCCCCAATGTCCCGTCCCCATTTGGAACATATATAAATGGAAAAGAGCAAACGGTTGATACATCTTGCCTTTGCCTACGCNTTAATTTAATTCCCAAATGTAACATAAAGATTGTACTATCTTGTTATTTGGTTAAGCTATAGACGAGCATCTCAATAATTGGAAATCATTATTTGGTTGTCTTTTACTTTATAGCGGCGACTTTGCTTACTAAGCCAGCGTGGTTTCATAAAGTACCATTAAAGCATGAAACGCTTTTTAAACTAATAAATGTATTGGAACACACATGTCAAATGGTTAATCCTAGTCATTCCTATCAATTATTTGAGTTGTGGTGCAAAGTAATACTTCGTACCTCCAAATGCTGGCCTAAACTTAGTACTACCCTCCGTTAATACCAACCACAACTAAGAATCCTCAATTGTCAACCTAGATTCTCCTTCTCCTCCGGGAACAAACAAGCACACACACCCCCCCAATTACAATACTATTTTAAGTATTCCCTAAGCTAGTCAAATCATTCACACATTAAATCAAACACCTTCATAATTTCAATAAAGCCCCTAAGATGATCAAATAAAAAGAACAGCACCGTGCTCGATATTGACTCATTTCTTTTTCTTAATAAGAACAAAAATAAAAATGTCAAGAAGACATAACCAAAAAAAAATCAAAAGAGAGCCTGTGAGGGATACAAAGTGCTAAACTATCCATGATACTAAATGCAACAAAGGCACAAAAACAACACAATAAAAACTAGAAGAAAAGAACAAAACCTTTGAAGCATTCAAACCACCAACGTTTCACAAGAAAAGGTTGTTATGCGCTAGGCAAATGGCCATCATTTTTACTACCCCTCCAATCGTTGGCCTTCCCCTTTTCCCTTCATAATTCACCCAAGTTAGTTACCATCTTTAGTTTTCTTTGTGGCTTTTCTCAAGCATTTTCTCCATTTTCTTAGACTCCCATGCTATGTGAGAACCTTCCCCGATTTCATCAAACAAATACAAATTAAATCCCGAGCTTAGTACTGACATAACCTCCATTACACTGTCCATGATGAAGTAGTGAAACCTCATTTGTGACCCCCAATGTCCCGTCCCCATTTGGAACATATATAAATGGAAAAGAGCAAACGGTTGATACATCTTGCCTTTGCCTACGCAATCCCAGAATCCTCCTTGCATTACCCCTCCAAAATAATAACTGCTAGTGGTCCTTCATTAAACAGGTTGATTCCAGTACTTTGCATCCCTCTGCCCATAAACTCATCTAAACCCAAACTCGAGTATGAAGTTATACAGTCAACCAAAACTACTTTTCAATTTATTTTCATTTCGCGTGGGTTTTCAATATCAGAAAAGTGGTTTATTATAGAAGGAAAGAAAAAGGCATGCAATCCAAATAAACAAAATATACTTCCCAGCAATTAGAATTTCGTTTTCAGCCTACCTTGTGTGTGGCTATCAGCAACATGCTCTAGGCATCTGAGGTGCTCCATAACTTTTCAGCCTACAAAAATTGACTTCTCTGTCCTCCATTCTGGAAAAGACTACAACCGTCGGCTGGAGCAACAACCGTGGCCTCAAAAGTAATGTNTATGATCCTAGTTGTAGTTTATGATCTTGTCTAGTTAGGATTGTTCATCTATGATGACCATTAATACTTTTTGTGACAGAGATTTGTTAAAAGCCCACTTCCATCAAGAGACTATCCCGGATTAACCGGTGCTTGCCATTTTTATGAACTATATCTTGCCTCAATTTTTCAGGTAATTTAATTCCCAAATGTAACATAAAGATTGTACTATCTTGTTATTTGGTTAAGCTGTAGACGAGCATCTCAATAATTGGAAATCATTATTTGGTTGTCTTTTACTTTATAGCGGCGACTTTGCTTACTAAGCCAGCGTGGTTTCATAAAGTACCATTAAAGCATGAAACGCTTTTTAAACTAATAAATGTATTGGAACACACATGTCAAATGGTTAATCCTAGTCATTCCTATCAATTATTTGAGTTGTGGTGCAAAGTAATACTTCGTACCTCCAAATGCTGGCCTAAACTTAGTACTACCCTCCGTTAATACCAACCACAACTAAGAATCCTCAATTGTCAACCTAGATTCTCCTTCTCCTCCGGGAACAAACAAGCACACACACCCCCCCAATTACAATACTATTTTAAGTATTCCCTAAGCTAGTCAAATCATTCACACATTAAATCAAACACCTTCATAATTTCAATAAAGCCCCTAAGATGATCAAATAAAAAGAACAGCACCGTGCTCGATATTGACTCATTTCTTTTTCTTAATAAGAACAAAAATAAAAATGTCAAGAAGACATAACCAAAAAAAAATCAAAAGAGAGCCTGTGAGGGATACAAAGTGCTAAACTATCCATGATACTAAATGCAACAAAGGCACAAAAACAACACAATAAAAACTAGAAGAAAAGAACAAAACCTTTGAAGCATTCAAACCACCAACGTTTCACAAGAAAAGGTTGTTATGCATGGGCGCATAGGCAAATGGCCATCATTTTTACTACCCCTCCAATCGTTGGCCTTCCCCTTTTCCCTTCATAATTCACCCAAGTTAGTTACCATCTTTAGTTTTCTTTGTGGCTTTTCTCAAGCATTTTCTCCATTTTCTTAGACTCCCATGCTATGTGAGAACCTTCCCCGATTTCATCAAACAAATACAAATTAAATCCCGAGCTTAGTACTGACATAACCTCCATTACACTGTCCATGATGAAGTAGTGAAACCTCATTTGTGACCCCCAATGTCCCGTCCCCATTTGGAACATATATAAATGGAAAAGAGCAAACGGTTGATACATCTTGCCTTTGCCTACGCAATCCCAGAATCCTCCTTGCATTACCCCTCCAAAATAATAACTGCTAGTGGTCCTTCATTAAACAGGTTGATTCCAGTACTTTGCATCCCTCTGCCCATAAACTCATCTAAACCCAAACTCGAGTATGAAGTTATACAGTCAACCAAAACTACTTTTCAATTTATTTTCATTTCGCGTGGGTTTTCAATATCAGAAAAGTGGTTTATTATAGAAGGAAAGAAAAAGGCATGCAATCCAAATAAACAAAATATACTTCCCAGCAATTAGAATTTCGTTTTCAGCCTACCTTGTGTGTGGCTATCAGCAACATGCTCTAGGCATCTGAGGTGCTCCATAACTTTTCAGCCTACAAAAATTGACTTCTCTGTCCTCCATTCTGGAAAAGACTACAACCGTCGGCTGGAGCAACAACCGTGGCCTCAAAAGTAATGTAAAACATAAATCCTGCAACAATCTGCAAGTTCAATTTGTGGACCTTCACAAACTCATAGTGGGTATCCTGTGTTTTAAGAATAGATTTACACAATAAAAAAAAATGAGTTAGTAAAAGAAAGGAATATGTGTGAAATAACTTAATGGACGAACATGCAGGCCCATACATTATCAGAGTTGTATTTGGCAAGCGCAAATTTGGAACAAAACTTGACATCCTCAACAAAATCTTCGGTTCATGTATCTAGGTCCAATACTGGTATTATGAAACCAAGCGGATACTTGTTGGGGATTTTGTCAACGTCAAAGCCCTGTCCATATATGAATGAAGTTATAGAAGAATAAAAAACAATCGGAATTGAAATAGCATTACAAAGGAGATGATAGGGAGATAATTAAGAAACAATTAACGCATTAACAAAAGAGAATGTTGTGTACACCTCGCTCTCGTTCACCTTTTTGATGTACGTCTGAAACTCCTCATCGGTCAATTCATCATCCAAATCTTCATAATTGGTTGTTCGTTCTTGTGATTGTTTGTTATCATCTTCCTCCTCCAATTTCTGTTTCTCTTTCTCTTCTTCTAGTGGTTGCTTGTTATCATCTTCTTCCTCATCCAATTTCTATTTTTTCGGCCATGGTTGTTCTTCTTCTGGAGGAGATTCAGATGCGTTATCAGCCATCTCTCAGCTTTTACGAACGAAAACCCTAATCCCTGAGGGAAAATAGGGGAGGATGGAAAATGGAGGAATGAAAGTGGGAGGGATGGAGTTGTTTTCCATTGTTTGGTTTGGAAGGAAAATGGGAGGGAATGGAAAGTGGAGGGGAGATGGATTCCTTGGCGCCCGCCAAAAATTTTCCCCCAATTTTTGGGCAGAAAATGGACTGAAAAGTGGAGGAAAAATGACATTTTTGAGAATTGACTATTTTACCCACCACTCTATTTCAGACTTTCAGTAGAACCACNGTAATTTAATTCCCAAATGTAACATAAAGATTGTACTATCTTGTTATTTGGTTAAGCTGTAGACGAGCATCTCAATAATTGGAAATCATTATTTGGTTGTCTTTTACTTTATAGCGGCGACTTTGCTTACTAAGCCAGCGTTGTTTCATAAAGTACCATTAAAGCATGAAACGCTTTTTAAACTAATAAATTTATTGGAACACACATGTCAAATGGTTAATCCTAGTCATTCCTATCAATTATTTGAGTTGTGGTGCAAAGTAATACTTCGTACCTCCAAATGCTGGCCTAAACTTAGTACTACCCTCCGTTAATACCAACCACAACTAAGAATCCTCAATTGTCAACCTAGATTCTCCTTCTCCTCCGGGAACAAACAAGCACACACACCCCCCCAATTACAATACTATTTTAAGTATTCCCTAAGCTAGTCAAATCATTCACACATTAAATCAAACACCTTCATAATTTCAATAAAGCCCCTAAGATGATCAAATAAAAAGAACAGCACCGTGCTCGATATTGACTCATTTCTTTTTCTTAATAAGAACAAAAATAAAAATGTCAAGAAGACATAACCAAAAAAAAATCAAAAGAGAGCCTGTGAGGGATACAAAGTGCTAAACTATCCATGATACTAAATGCAACAAAGGCACAAAAACAACACAATAAAAACTAGAAGAAAAGAACAAAACCTTTGAAGCATTCAAACCACCAACGTTTCACAAGAAAAGGTTGTTATGCGCTAGGCAAATGGCCATCATTTTTACTACCCCTCCAATCGTTGGCCTTCCCCTTTTCCCTTCATAATTCACCCAAGTTAGTTACCATCTTTAGTTTTCTTTGTGGCTTTTCTCAAGCATTTTCTCCATTTTCTTAGACTCCCATGCTATGTGAGAACCTTCCCCGATTTCATCAAACAAATACAAATTAAATCCCGAGCTTAGTACTGACATAACCTCCATTACACTGTCCATGATGAAGTAGTGAAACCTCATTTGTGACCCCCAATGTCCCGTCCCCATTTGGAACATATATAAATGGAAAAGAGCAAACGGTTGATACATCTTGCCTTTGCCTACGCAATCCCAGAATCCTCCTTGCATTACCCCTCCAAAATAATAACTGCTAGTGGTCCTTCATTAAACAGGTTGATTCCAGTACTTTGCATCCCTCTGCCCATAAACTCATCTAAACCCAAACTCGAGTATGAAGTTATACAGTCAACCAAAACTACTTTTCAATTTATTTTCATTTCGCGTGGGTTTTCAATATCAGAAAAGTGGTTTATTATAGAAGGAAAGAAAAAGGCATGCAATCCAAATAAACAAAATATACTTCCCAGCAATTAGAATTTCGTTTTCAGCCTACCTTGTGTGTGGCTATCAGCAACATGCTCTAGGCATCTGAGGTGCTCCATAACTTTTCAGCCTACAAAAATTGACTTCTCTGTCCTCCATTCTGGAAAAGACTACAACCGTCGGCTGGAGCAACAACCGTGGCCTCAAAAGTAATGTAAAACATAAATCCTGCAACAATCTGCAAGTTCAATTTGTGGACCTTCACAAACTCATAGTGGGTATCCTGTGTTTTAAGAATAGATTTACACAATAAAAAAAAATGAGTTAGTAAAAGAAAGGAATATGTGTGAAATAACTTAATGGACGAACATGCAGGCCCATACATTATCAGAGTTGTATTTGGCAAGCGCAAATTTGGAACAAAACTTGACATCCTCAACAAAATCTTCGGTTCATGTATCTAGGTCCAATACTGGTATTATGAAACCAAGCGGATACTTGTTGGGGATTTTGTCAACGTCAAAGCCCTGTCCATATATGAATGAAGTTATAGAAGAATAAAAAACAATCGGAATTGAAATAGCATTACAAAGGAGATGATAGGGAGATAATTAAGAAACAATTAACGCATTAACAAAAGAGAATGTTGTGTACACCTCGCTCTCGTTCACCTTTTTGATGTACGTCTGAAACTCCTCATCGGTCAATTCATCATCCAAATCTTCATAATTGGTTGTTCGTTCTTGTGATTGTTTGTTATCATCTTCCTCCTCCAATTTCTGTTTCTCTTTCTCTTCTTCTAGTGGTTGCTTGTTATCATCTTCTTCCTCATCCAATTTCTATTTTTTCGGCCATGGTTGTTCTTCTTCTGGAGGAGATTCAGATGCGTTATCAGCCATCTCTCAGCTTTTACGAACGAAAACCCTAATCCCTGAGGGAAAATAGGGGAGGATGGAAAATGGAGGAATGAAAGTGGGAGGGATGGAGTTGTTTTCCATTGTTTGGTTTGGAAGGAAAATGGGAGGGAATGGAAAGTGGAGGGGAGATGGATTCCTTGGCGCCCGCCAAAAATTTTCCCCCAATTTTTGGGCAGAAAATGGACTGAAAAGTGGAGGAAAAATGACATTTTTGAGAATTGACTATTTTACCCACCACTCTATTTCAGACTTTCAGTAGAACCACTAGCGAGCCAAGACACTGTCGTCTCCACCAATGATATGCTAGTGGGTTCGATGGGTCAAGAACGGTATTGAATGGTTTAGTTGTCGCCGAGGATGGTGAGGGTCTAGTCCTTGACTTCTGATCTTGTTCGTAACCGGAGACTATCGCCATGGGTGGAGGGGAAGAAGAGCTTGATGGGTGGTGGTAGGCAGAGGGAGAAAGATGGGAGTGTAGGTGGTGGTGGTGGGTTTAATGGTGGTGGTAAGATGTATGGTGGGATGCAGATGTATAGTTCTGGTGGTTGGGCAGATGTATTGTTTTGGGTTTGATACTGATAAACAGAGGGAGAATTATACTCATATCCTTGATGTTTGTCACTTAATCATTCAGGTCCATTGATATTTGAAATATTACACACAAACATTTTAATGTTTGTACACGCGTAACACTTAGACCCTTATTATCAATATATATCCATTAATAAATTATATTTAGACCTCCTAAAATTTGTAGGTATATAATATTTAGACTCCTTAAATTTAAAATATTATATTTAGACAAAAAATATTTGATTTTTACGTAAAACATTAATTTGATTGTAAAATTTAAAATATTTGATATTTTATCTTTGATTGGAGTATTTTTGGTCAAAAGATAATATTTTAAACTTAAAAGGTCTAAGTAACCTTTAGAGGGGCCTAAATATAATTTATTAGTTGATATATTTATAGTAGAGGTCTAAGCGTTACCCACTTATAAAAATATTTGAGGGTGTAATAGTAAATTTAGTATATATATTTTTCCTTTTCATCCAATTTTCAATCCAATACCAAATAAAGAAAAATGTATCCCTTTAATTTTCAATNAAAATATTTGAGGGTGTAATAGTAAATTTAGTATATATATTTTTCCTTTTCATCCATCCAATTTTCAATCCAATACCAAATAAAGAAAAATGTATCCCTTTAATTTTCAATCCATCATATCAAACATAAATGAGAGAAAATATATTCCTTCCCTCTAGGGATGGAAAATCTTTTTCATCTATTTTCTATCCTTCCTACTAAACAGACCCTAACACACCCTTTTCCCCAATCTCGATTTTGTTATAAATTAAAGGAAAAATTTCATCCACACCCCTTCTAGTTATGTCTAAATTTAATGTCATTTCCTCCCGATTCTAAAACTTCACTATACCCCCTTCTGATTTATACTTTCAAATTAAAGACACCCTTTAAGAGGTAATTTTTAACTCTACCAGTACAAAAAGTAACGGTTTGGCTATAATTTTTTTAAAATGTTAAAACTACCATTCCTTATGTAAATATACTAAAATGTCATCAACCTTTTTTCCACTATGTATACCGCATTTTTTTTTTGTTTGTGAAGATCTAAAACGATCTAGGGTTGCTGGAAGACATAGGGACTAAAATCAGTCATTATTCTTCAACTCGTTCTCGGTAGTGATCGATCACCACCTAAGTTGGTCAAAGAAAAAAATATTTTTTTCTTGCAAATTTGTAAATGTTTTTCATGCAAATTTTTAAAAAAAAATTTCATCAAGTTTTTTTTATTTATTTTTCATGCAGATATTTTTAATNTTAAAAAAATTTCATCAAGTTTTTTTTTTTTATTTTTCATGCAGATATTTTTAATTTTTTTTCATTCAAATTTTTAAAAGAAAATNAAAAAAAAATTTCATCAAGTTTTTTTTATTTATTTTTCATGCAGATATTTTTAATTTTTTTTCATTCAAATTTTTAAAAGAAAATTCATCCAAAATACCCGTTAGACTTTTAAGTCATTAAATCCATTTTCTTATAAGTTGTTGGGTAAAAGGTACACTTTTCGGTTTCTTATTTTCTTGTATTACCTAAATTTCCTATATAGTATGTTTTTTGCTGTTCGTTATAAATTACAGGGTTTTAAATTTATTTTATAGTTAAAAATAATTTTTCTAGAATAAATTTACAATCNATATAGTATGTTTTTTGCTGTTCGTTATAAATTATAGGGTTTTAAATTTATTTTATAGTTAAAAATAATTTTTCTAGAATAAATTTACAATCAATAAAGTCAATGCAAAATTCCATCAATTTCTTACTTCTCTGCTATCGGCTGTCCTCCACAATATCACCTGACCACTCTTTATACATCACCCTTCATATATAAAATTTAAATATTATTTAATAAAATCTAATGTTAATTAAATAAATTTGATCTTAATATGATAAATTTAAATATTTAATTTGATAAAATTAAATATTAATTAAGTGTTGATTTGATAAAATATAATTGTAAGGAATAGAAAAGGATGAATTACCCCTCAATAGAATGAACTGGATATTTCTAGAAAAATTTGTTTTTGAACTGAATCTCTCAATCTTCTCTTCCTGCAAAACGAACAAACTGCTCAAGATCGAAGTGCTTCGATCGAAGGCACTCTGATACTTAAGTTAGTAATGAGACGAAGATGATTGCTAGAAGAAAGAGAGAGTTCAACTTACTTTTCGCCTTGGTTTCCTCTACCTTTTATAGATCATTCTACCATTAGCGTTTTCGTGATTTTTGATTCAAGGTGGCACACCTTCCTTCAATTTAGCGATTGAGGTTGGGAAGTTGCTGGTATTTCTCCAATAATTCCTCCTGATATCTACAATTCCGTTGATTCGTTTCTCCGAATGCTGAGTTATAGGCGAATCTTTATCTTTCCACATATTGTTGCAAATAGTTCAATCATAATGAGTGTCGAGCTCATAGATCAAATCGGTTTGATAAGAGCGGAGCTCTTTTACTGTTTGCCAAACTCATTAATAAGTTCGACTCGGGAAATTGAACTGAGTGGCTGATCATGTGCTTTGTCTTTTCATCCTCACGTGGGCTTATTTAATGCCATAACATGTGTAATAATGGGGGTCAGCCCCTTTATTTGCCCCTAGAAAATGTATAATAGACACTTTTCGTCTGTCAGCCGTTTTATGCCTTTTCATCATTATTGTGCGTATTTATGCCATCCCCCCTAGTTTTGGCGACATGTTTTGGCATTTAAAGATTACCCTTTAGGATTCCCCCCTTTATAAACAGTTTCTCTTTGTACTTCCTCCACTTTGCCTTCTTGCCTCCAAACCCATCTCTTTCTATGTATCTTCTCTATTTCTGCACTTCATCTTTTTCAATGACCCCTCTCACACCTTCTGAGATTCCTGCTTTCAATTCTAAATACAACATTCCAGACGATGTTGTGGTGAAGGTCGCTGGAAAAGATGAACCCCTGATTGGGTCAAGGGAGAGGATTCCTATCTATACTCGAGCGATCACCGAAGGCGGTGTATGTTTCCCTCTTGACCCATTGCTCCTTTGGGTGCTGTCAGCCATGAAACTGTGCCCCATCCAGTGCTACCCCAACTTCTTCAGAATAGGGATGGGTGTGGCAGCTTTAAACAAGCTTCTAAACTTGAGCTTGGGATTATGGGAAATATTGTATTGCCACATCCTCAAGCCTGCTGGTGATAATTACTACCTTGCTGCTAGGAAGAAGAAACGATATTTGGTAACTCATCTTCCAGACTCGACCAAGGGTCATGAGAACGATGTGGTCTTCATTTCAGGCAACTGGGAGTATGTTGTTGATGCTACTCTTTCCTATCGTTGTCCTTATGAAGAAGGTGCTCTAGGTATTTTCCTTTTCTTTTTTTTTTTTACCGCTTTCTGATTCTGGACTTTTATGTGAAGGAAAAACTATCAAAGNTTGTTGATGCTACTCTTTCCTATCGTTGTCCTTATGAAGAAGGTGCTCTAGGTATTTTCCTTTTCTTTTTTTTTTACCGCTTTCTGATTCTGGACTTTTATGTGAAGGAAAAACTATCAAAGGTAGAGTTCCTGAATCCTCTGTGAAGATGGACAAGCTTAAGAGAGTTTGGGATTTCAATGAGTCTCTGTTCTGCTAAGCTGCCCACACACTGCTCGGATACACTCCAACTTATACTTCCTTTATTGCCGCGCTGAACAAACCCAACACCACTCTAGCCGTTGATCGAGAGGCAATCCAGGCTGCTCGGGAACAGACTCCCTGAGCAAAGAAGAAGTCTTCACTTGCAGCCACCAGAAGTAGAACGGTGAAGAATTTTTTATAATTTTTATCAATTGTTGAGTCGTCCCCGTTTACCGAGCCTGTTCCATCTACTTTTGTTCCTTCAATTGCCATTTTAGACGAGCCTGCTGCTGAGATTCTTGTCGAGCCAGTTCTTCCAAACGATGCAGAAGTGCCGAGCAGTGACCAGAAATATAAGGTTTAGTTTATTGAAACTTCAATTCCATTAGAGTTAGATCCCCTTGATTCTGTTCATTCTCCCATCCCTCAAGAAGACTCAATTTTTGAGCTTACCAAGGACCTAGCCCCGAAAAAGCGAAGGATAGTNTTGATTCTGTTCATTCTCCCCATCCCTCAAGAAGACTCAATTTTTGAGCTTACCAAGGACCTAGCCCCGAAAAGGCGAAGGATAGTTGAGTCCGAGGTGAGCCTCTCTCCAAGACTACTCACCCCTCCTTTCCGACTCGTCCTCAGGGCAAAAAGGAGAGGAATTACTGCCAAGGATTTTGCTATTGAAGATTTTAACGTTGCAGTGGGGATTGCCAAGGGAGTGATCCTACCTCGGGACCTGGCTATGAATGAGGCTCTTACAGATGATGAAGTGTCTCGCCAAGCCATTCAACATATGGTCCTGGTAAGATTTTCCCTTTTAAACTTCTTCTTTTTTCTCAAAAATTTTTCTAAGTCGTTCTTCTTTTTTCAACCAAAGGTCTACAAAAGGTACATAAGGTCGGGGCCAGGATAACCAGAAGGACAAGGCTATGAAGGACGCTATCCATGCCCGAGCTTCTACCCTGGCTAAGAAAGAGTCAATGGATGAAAAGTACTCCAAGCTTTGTGAAGAAGTTAAGGATCTGTAGGCTCAGAATCAAAGCCTAACTGGGGAAAACTAGAAGCTTCAAGGGAGGTCGGGAAGCTAAGAGACTCGGAGCATGAAGCAAATGTTGAGTTTTCCCGGTCCCAGCTTGATTACACCAATCTTCTTGAAGAGTTTGATTAGTTCAATTCTGAGGCAAAGGAAAGGGAAGATGCAGCATACGACGAAGGGGTCGAAAAGGTAGAGAAAGATCTGGCTCTTCAG